GTTTTCACCTCCTTAGGAGCTTCTTCCCCTCTGCTCAGCCCTCGCCCCACTGCCTCCCCCACCCCAACCAGTTTTCCTGCTTGTTGGGAGTCGGTCGCTTCCATTCCAGGCTGTCCTCGGCTTATGACCACAACCGAGCCCGGAATTTTCCGTTCCTGAATTGAAACTTCCGTTCAGCGAGCTCTTCCCCATTTGACGACCTCGCTCGCCAAGAGTTGTCAAGCGGATCTCTGCGGCTCTTAAAAGTTCATCCCACGGTTGTTAAGTGAATCCGGCTTGCACTTCCACCGTCATAAATACGAATCGGTTGCCAAGCTGATCACACCTTTGTGAGAAGGCTGCAAAGTGCGAAAAAGGGTCACCATTGGCTTCCCCCCCCCCCCATTGTAACTTCAAACGGTCACTAAATGAACTGTTGTTAAGTGGAGAGCTGCCTGTAATCGATTTCTCCTCAATTCGTCTCTTCTTTTGCTCGTTCTGACTAGGAGTTTTCCCCACCATCCTCACAACCATCCTGTGAGGTAGGCCGTGTGGGGGAGAAAAATATGAACTCCGGAGCTCAGAGGTGCTAAATTTCTGGCATAAGTCCATGAAGGGAAATTTTGCTTTATGATTGGAGTCGTGCTTAAGTGTTTTGAGGCGCCCTGCTTGCTTTAACAGTCATTAGCCCAGCCCTTGGCTCCTTCTGCACATGCACACACAACACACACCCAGGTGTGTGGGTGTGTGGGTGTTCCAGTATCTCAGGGGCTGCTCCAAAGGAGAGGAAGGAGTCAAGCTATTCTCCAAAGCACCAAAGAAGGCCGGACAAGAAGCAATGGATGGAAACTAATCAAGGAGAGAAGCAACCTGGAATTATGGAGAAACCTCCCGTCAGTGAGGACAATTAACCAGTGGAACTGCTTGCCACCAGACGGATGCTTTCATCACTGGAGGGTTTTGAAGAAAAGTTTCAATAGGGAGAAACTTTCTGACAGTGAGAGCCATCAACCCATGGAACAGAAGTTGCCCTCGGAAGTTGTGGGAGCGCCATCCCTTGAGACTTTCAAGAAGAGATTGGACTGCCGTCTGTCAGAAATTGGTGTAGGGTCTCCTGGGGGGGGGTTGGACTAGATGACCTCCAAGGTCCCTTCCAACTCTGTAAATCCTATTCTGCATACACAGACACACACGCACATTTAAATTCTGCAGAGCCGGGAGCTCAACGTTCCTGCCTTAAACCCTCCCTGCCACCGCCCAGCCAGGTAAGACCTGCTCTCTTTATCTTCCCTTCCCAACCACTGAGGGTCTCTTGGCCTCAACCCTGACCTCCAGGAGACCACCCACCTGCCAGGAGGGTCTTCCCACCCACCCCTCTTTTAATTGTCCCCCTTTGTGCAAAGAAAGGAGCGCATTCTCCTCTTCCAAAGGGCCCGTTTTTCCACAAACAGGTTTCTGTTCAGACAAGCCCTGGGGGCTTTTGTGTCTGCAGACACTGTCGGAGTCCCTCCCTCTGATTACGACAATTGTGGGGGTGGGGGAGAGGAGGGGGGGGTCAGAGACACACACAGGGATGGGAGATAACAGCCTAAGGTGTACAAGACATCCCCCTCGAGGGCATCTGGCTCAGACACCCCAGACTGGGCTTTGAAAGAAGAAAAGTCAGAAAATATTACCTGTGGCGGCAGCCTTAAATATAAAGCTGGAGATTTATTTTATTTTATTTTTTTTAAAAGAAATCCTGCTTGGTGCTTCCATCTGTCATAAACCCCCCCCCCCCCCCCGAGAGGCTTAAGCATGGGGATACAATATGTTTATTCCAGATGTTGCAAGCTCAGGATATTCGATTGTTTCAGATCTTGCTTTCTTTTTGAAAAGAAAAGAAAAGAGGAAGAAAAAACAACAACTTTTGGATTCTGGAACTTCGTCCTCGCGGATTTGAGGCCGAGTCACATCTGGAAAAGGCCAGGCTAGCATCTTATCTTAGTTACGAGCTTCTAGGCCAAGCCTTCCTCAAATCTGCCCTCTTCCAGATGTGCCGACGTTTCCTTTGGCTGGGGACGATGGGCGTTCCGGTGCAATAGATTTGGGACGGTTCGCGAGGAAGGGTCGCTATTTCAGAGCCTGATTTTACTTTTTACTTTTTTTGTTTTTGTTTTAAATGGCATCCAGAAAAAAAAATCAAGTCTTTAAAACCACGGCGGGTGAGGATTTTTCTCCTCCTCGGCGGTTTCCTCCTTTCGACAGGTTGCTTCACGCTAATGCCCGAAAGAATGCGCTTCTCCCCTGCGCAGGAGCCCTGTTCAAAATAAGTCATTGTTTTTCTACTTTCCTACTTCCTGAAAGAAGGAGGGCGCCCAACGAACAGCCTCTGAAGGATACGGGGAAAGAAAAAAGGGCCGTAATACGAAATGAATACGAAAGCCGCTTGAAACTTTCCCCTCCTAATTCCTGTAAGAGGCTGTTCCTGTTTGCCGCCCAGATCAAAGAACTTGCAGGTTCTGCACAAGACTGGTCTCGGGCGGGATCTGTTTCCCCAAAACAAGGACCACCCCCTCCTTCCTTCCAGCCTCCAGGAAACCTCCAACTGTCCCAAAAGTGTTTTTCCAAAAGGCACCTGGCACCTTTGGAAATGAGGAGGCCTGGGAAAGCCAAGGGAAATCATCCAAACCATTAAAAAAAGCAAAAGTTAGAATATTGCAGACATGGGATGAGACATCCGGGAAAACACGGAATCCTCCAGGGAAAGATTGAAGGCAAACGAAGGTCCAGGCAGAAGAAGAACATCATGGCTTCAAAATCTAAGGGACAAAACTCAGCAGCCCTTTTTCGTGCGGCTGTTGATAAAAATAGGATCGCCAACAGGATTGCCAACGTCCAATGATGGAAGATGAAGAACAGGAGGAGGAGGAGAAGGAGAAAGAGGAGAAGAAGAACAAGAAGAAAGGAGGAAGAGGAAGAAGAAGAAAGAAGAAGAAGAAGAAGAAGAAGAAGAAGAAGAAGAGGAAGAAGAAGAAGAGGAGGAGGAGGAGGAGGAGGAGGAGGAGGAGGAGGAGGAGGAGGTGGTAGTGGAGGGTTCTGCTGGGCCCTTTTGACCAGGGCTGCAATATGAGCACCCCAGGTCACATCCTCTTTTAAGGTAACACCCCGAAATTTAAAACTAGTCACTTGCTCCACTCGGTCTCCATTCATAAGCAAGGGCTGGAAGTTGAAGTCTACCTCTATTCAGAAGTTGCCCAGAAGAACCGCTGACTTGTTAAGGAAAATAGCTCGAGTGGCTTCCAAATTTTAGCACTTGACTTGTCCGTCCAAGGGGTGTTTGTCTTTCGAAGAACTCCTCCATCCATGGAACTAAGACAATCCAAGTCACTCGTCCAGAATTACTCCGCTTTGTCTAAAATTACCTGGAGTAACCTGATCTTTTTTCTAAGTTTCCAAGTCGTTTCACCTCGCCTATTCTGCAATTCGGCATCCCTGGTACGTCAGGAGCAGATCCATTCTCCCTGCAAGGTGCCAAAGTCATCCTCTCACTTCCTAACTTGGCTCGTCCCCAGGAAGGGACAATGAGAATAAATTTTAAGTACTAACTCCGGGCACAGAGCTAATCAATAATGTAAGGGGGGGGGGAGTGCTTGTTGTTGTTTTTTGTCTCCAAGTGTTACCCGATTCCCTCGAGAGGGATACGATGCTAACTATGCAACAGCTGCATTTTACGGATCTAGCTCACCCTGGTGCAGTTAAAACGGAGAAGATTTTCCTGGTGAAATCATAGTGAAATTGGCTCCCCCCCCCCCCCCAGTCAGGTCTGAGTTGAGAATGCAAAGTGGCATGTTATGGATTCTCCTGCTGAAGTTCCATTGCATCCTTCCTTGATTGGCCCACCTCCTTTAGATTAACGGAAAGCCTACTGCTTGAGACATTATTCATTTATCCCGATTCGTATAGTCACTGTTTTAATCCATCAGACTGTCAGGAAATGATATTCAAGCCACCATCGCAAGAGCTGTAAGGACATCCCTTCCTATTTGAGAGCCCAAGGGGTACTGTGTTTTTCACAGGGAGATCTCTGGGCTCCAAGTTACATTTAGGAGATCACATCCCCCAAAACAGGGCGGGCAGGACAAGATTGTAAAGTAAGTGAAGCTAGGACAAAAAAAACTAATGAGCATTCGGTGGTGCTCAACTTCCGTTTAGCTGCCATGTTCAGTTGCCGTTGAAAAGGCGATGTTCTCATCTGAATTCATTTGTCCCTCTTCTAAACCCATTGAGGCCGTCACCAGTTTGAGGATGCCAATAAGAGGCATTCTGGGTGCATTTAATTGAATAATAATAATACTTTATTGTCATTGTACAAATATACAGAGTATACACATACAACGAAATTCACATAACACGCAGAGACCAGACCCAAGGCACACACACACACACAACAATCCCCAAACGCACACACATACCCGCTAAGGTTCCCCAACCCCTAAAACACACAAGCATCTACACAACAGACAAAGTAATCCCGTCCAACAGCTCACTCATGGTGGTCCTTAAGTTCATTGTTAAGTGCAGTTATAGCTCTGGGTTAAAAACTATTCAAGAAACGTGTGGTCCGAGTTTGAATTGTTCTGCATCTTCTGCCAGAAGGCAACAGCTTCACAAAGATTGTGAGCAGGATGGGAAGAGTCTCTGAGAATGTGGTGCGACTTCCTCAAACAGCGAGATGCGAAGATGTCGTCCAGGGCTGGTAGCTGGAGCCCAATGATATTCTGGGCAGTTTTAATGATTCTCTGCAGAGCTTTTTTGTCCGCTACAGAGCTGCTCCCATGCCGTACAAGAATGCCGTATGTCAGGACACTCTCAATGGTGCTGTGGTAATAGGACAGAAGTAGATGCTGAGATAGATTTTTATCTTCCTGGGCATTCTCAGGAAGCGCAGCCTCTTCTTCTGTGCCTCTTCACAAGCATGTTAGCATTCATAGTCCACGAGAGGTCCTCTGAGATAGAAGTGCCCAGAAATTTAAAACTCCCAACCCTCTCCATCTCCTCTCCATTTATGTACAATGGTAAATGTAAATCTCTTCCTCCTGAAGTCAGTTATAAGTTCTTCAGTTTTTTTTTTTTTTTTTTGGGTGTTAAGTGTGAGATTATTTTCTTTAAACCACAGTCTCAGCCCTTGTACTTCCTTTCTATAAGCAGCGGACTCATTGTTCTTATTAATGAGCCCCACCCCTGCAGACATGGAGTAGGAACTGTGAAAATGAGGTGCTTGGAAATGCAAGAAAATCCCCCCTCTTAATCATACAAGGACATTAGTTCAAACAGACCCTATTCCGTGAGATCAACTTAAAGAAAGAAAAAATATGTATGGAAGTTTGTAGCTTTGGGAACATCTGTGAGCTGAATTGTTTCTAGGTGTAATACATACACCTAGAGAGGGTTGTTAGAATCAAGGCAGACTAATTTAGCGTAAACACAGAAAACTGGATAAATGAAACAAAGAACAGATATGTTTAACAGATATGTTAAAGATAACCTTGATTTTTTTTTCCTGTGGACACACTGGCACACATTAAAAAAATGAAATTCTGATGCCCTTAGTTGGCATTAAGCAAAGGAAGTTTGCACATTATTTTAAGTATCAGAAGCTGAAAATAAATAATTCGGGAACAAGATGCTTTGTTGTTTTGAAAGTTATAATTTAAGGATGAGGTCTGGTTTGCTGGCAAAATAACGGAGGGGAACATTCTGAGCACGATACTTACCTCTGTTTTGAGGCAGGTTTATTCCGTGTCATGTTGTGTTTCGTGTCTAGGTATGTGTCCCAGATGATCACAGTGCTACCCCAGGAAGAGCCATTAACAAGCAGGCCTTTGAAGGACTAATAACTGGAGCGCTCAGGATCTTGGCTGTAGTGTTTGAGTCTCTGATGTCCAACCTACCTAACGCCAGTAACCAAATTTGTGCACCAAAATTGACTCAAGATACGAAAAACAAGACCTCCCAAGCGGAAATGTTTAACAATAGGATACAAGACCTTATCAGGTAAGAGAACCAATCGGATGTTCCTATTTTGTATTTTCATTCCAATCTTGATTGTGCCTTCTGGAGGGGTTGGGACTACAGGGCCCATCATTCCCCTGGTCAAGCTCCTTTTGGTATTCTTGAGTTATTGTCCCAACTCTTTGGGAAAGTGCAGCTATTTTAAAGATCATTTAATCCTGCTTGTATGGTTTTTATAAGTAACTCAAAAGTGGCGAATATACCTAATGCTCCCTTTCTCTTCCTCTTTTCCCTCAATGACACCCAGGTGAGGTGGATTTGGGCTGAGAGAGAGGGAATGGCCCAAAGACACCCAGCCAGCTTTTGTGCCTAAGGCCGAACTAGAACTCTCAGGCTCCTGGTTTCTAGCCTGGTGCCTTCCACCACTACAGCACACTGGTTTTCTAAACTAAATGACTGTGAATATGTCTGTATGCACACATGGGAATGAATGAAAGGCCCAACGGATGGATGGATGAAGGAGTGAGTGAATGGCTGGATGAATTGATGAATGAACAAGAGCTGGTGGTAGTGATTCAAATGCTAGACTAGGGAGTTCTGTTCCTCCCTAAGTCAGGGAAACTTGACTGGGTGACTTTTGGGCCAGTCGCCTTCGTTCACTGGAAGTTTGAGCAACTTCTATCTCTCAGCATTCTCTCGAACAGCATAGTAGGTTATATAGTCTATTGCCTTAAATAAAAAGGCCTTCAGCTTGCAATGGATTGATTTGGGAGGAAGAAGAGGTGATGATGGAGGAGAAGGAGATGAAGAAGAAGGTGATGGAGGAGGAGGAAGGAGGAGGAGG